GAAATGATTTTACGGTAGAACGAATGATAGAACGTAATGATTCTACGGTAGAACGAATGATAGAGCGGAATGATTGTACAGTAGGACGAATAATTCGCGGTAGGACGAATTTTACGAGTTTACGAGAACATTCATGTTATGTTGTTGTTGTTGACATTTTACAAAATTTCAATCCTTTTGGCAATGCTTACTTTTTCACGTTTCCATGGAATCTCGAAATCTTGACTTTTGACCTCTATCACGTTACATTTCCGTTGCAACCTTACATACGTTTAACGTGAATGGACAAAAAAGCATAGTATTATTGCTTAATTCTATAATTTTTACGAGAACTATTACAATCTTTTTCTATATGTTATTTCTAAAATGTAATTTACGTTGTAATATGTAATAGATGTAATAGACGTAATAAACGTAATAGACGTAACAGACGTAACAGCGTAATAGAGTAATAGACATAATAGAAAATAGGGTAATGGAGTAATAGGATAATAGAGTAATAGAATAGCGTAATAAACGTAATAAACACTTTATGCAAAGTTTACGTAAAATTTATATATGTGTACGTGAAAATATTATCAAGTATGAGAGCATACATTAGCCAGTTTATGCTAACTATCTAACCTTCAAGTTTAAGATTAAACTTTTTCTTTTCTCTTTCTCTCTCCTAACTTCAATAGTATCTTTAAAGTTGTAGATAGAGAAAGAAAGCGAAAAAAAGATTTATTACACACTCCTACGAGAGTTTTTCTTCGTTTTTCTTTTCGTTTCTATTGCTCTAATCTATGTTTTACCTAAGTTACTACTCTATGATATAATACGAGAGCTCTCGGATGTATCACGATTTATTCCCGATAATATTAGGACATTTTCCTTATGCATATAGGCTAAATGTCAAAATTACCAGACTTTTGGTTATCTTGAATTAACAGAGTATATTATTGCTTAATTTTCATGCAGCGTTAATTAATGAATCATTTTAAGAGATTAACGAATCAGTTTTAATGAATCAATTGATGAATCATTTTTCTAATACATAATTCAAAATTTAAAAATTTTTAGAATAAATAATTTCTCTCATTTTATAGATTCTAGTGAAAATGTTGTCATTGATATGCGTATTGATTACCATCAGCCTTTTGTTTGCTTTACATTGTGCTATTTTCACGTTTACATGTTCGTTAACGTTATATCATTGTTCCCATCATTTGTATACCAATCGATATTTGTCTTTTGTTTCTTTTTGTTAAAGTGAGCTTTCGTACGTAAAACATGTTAGGTGAACACGTAAGTTAAGAGATTTGTATTTTGGAAGTCGAATTCCGGAATGGTCGGATGCAAACTTTGTAATAACTTTCCGTCCCGTTTCCAGTGTGAAATAGTTATGTGAAATTAAATTTTAGGAATGAGTCATCTTTTGTATACGTTCGTTATTATATGTTCAGTAAATTCCTTCTCCACATACATTCTCTTTTCGTGGGGGGAAAAGCTTGCAAGCTAGGCCAGTGGTGGTATACACTTCCGGTAGGATTTCCTATGCCAAATAGGTCACAGTTGAAGGGTTAGGCAAAGTATGTCCAAGGATAGGATAGGCTCACTAGCCATTCGGCAGCCATCTTAGGAGAAGGACAACTCTAACTCTAAACCCAGGGAAATGAAGCTCATTTAATCCTGTAAGGCTATCTATCTAAGCGAAAGATACTATGAAAAAACTTGTATCCTGAGAACTTCACTCTCACCGTCCTAGTTTGCTAGGCTGAAGTAGATGAACCTTAGAAGTAAGGAATGAGGCCAGTTATACACACCTAAAAAAATTTATTGCATAGGCTGGAAGAATATATTCAAATCATTATTCGCTAAGCTTAACCATGACAGAAAGTCCGTTTCAAATGTTGTTATTGTATTACTGCTCTTATTATCCTTCCGGAAAGTACTCTTACACTTCTAACGTCATTCCTTGCCGGATCTGATCTGGTAATATAGCATTTTTTTTTGTCTTGTTATTATGTGGGATGTTTTTTCGGTGTATTTTTGCTGTTTTATTGAATGATTTAAATTTGAAGTGTTCAATTTTAATTAATTTGTAGAAATAAAAGAGAAAAAAGACGAAGATGAATACTGATAATATTCAAAGTGCTGAAGAATTAAAAGATAATGGTAATAATGCCTTTAAAAATGGTCAATTAAATGAAGCAATTAATTGTTATACGGAAGCACTAGCTTTAAATCCGGATAAAAAATTGAAGTCAATAATATATCGAAATCGAGCAATGATACGTTTACGAATGGATGATTTTGAAGGTTGTGAAATGGATGCTACTCAAGGTAATGATGAATTATGATAATATGTTGATTTTTTTCAAAAGCATTTTTAGGAAGACCTATTTTAATATTATATTTCATTGCATGACGAAATATTATGTGACAATTTTGGCATCTATTTTCCTTTTTTGGGAAAATTGAAATGTTTTTTTTTTTGTTTATAAAATTCATATACAGTTTTTTTTCGTTTTTCTTTTGTAGCATTGGAATTTGATGGTGCCGATGCTAAAGCACTTTACAGACGAGCTTTAGCACGTGAAAAGATGGAAAATTATAGTGGGGCAATTGTAGATGCTCGAAATGCGTTGAAATTGGAACCTAAAAATAGGCAGTTATTTTATTTAATTCTTGAATACTGTAGAAACGGTGACACTTTCTCTGGTACAAGGAGATTATACTCGGAACAAGACAGCTTTTCTACATTAATCAATGTTAAACTTTTCGTCTCCGTCAAAATATGCTCATTCCTTTTGTATCATTTTAAATGACCCACAAAGCATATTTCTT